TCAGTCAGCCCAGTTAGACTTTCTTGAGATTGAGACATGTGCAAGGTTTTTGGAGACCAACCCACCATACACATGAAAGAGACACTTCGAGGAGCCAGGAACAGGGACAACAAAACCATTACCTTCCATTTAGTAGCCACCAGTAGTGGAACTTAAGCAACTGCTGCCACATCTCAGATATGTTATACGTACTCTCAAGCACAGGCAAGGATATTTTATTTTAGCTGAATTTTCAACTTCTTTCTCTGAAAACTTTTTATGATTGACAATAATTTGATAATTAAATCATCAAGTGTTGATTTGATCCAACAAGACTTGGCTCGTTGACTGCTAGATGTAATTTCATAATTATATTTTCAGAAAAAATGCAGGGGACAATTAATTTTGAGATTGGGGGAGGAGCAAATATCATTCAATGTCTTTAAAGCCATGAAACTCTCTTTAGAATCAGATAGATGTTTCCAAGTCAATGTCATTGATAAGGTAGTCCAGGAGACATTCTTACTTGATAGCACATTCGATGCTTATGAGGCGTGTATTGCACATTCTCAGTCAGCCCAGTTAGACTTTCTTGAGATTGAGACATGTGCAAGGTTTTTGGAGACCAACCCACCATACACATGAAAGAGACACTTCGAGGAGCCAGGAACAGGGACAACAAAACCATTACCTTCCATTCAGTAGCCACCAGTAGTGGAACTTAAGCAACTGCTGCCACATCTCAGATATGTTTATTTGGGAGAGTCATGTCAACTCCTAGTGATTATTTCAAACATAGCTAGTGAGGTGGAGGAAGAAAACTGCTTAGGGTACTCACAGAAAATAAGACAGTGATTGGGTGGACGATAGCTGACATTAAAGGGATCAGTCCTTCACTATGTATGCACAAAATTCTCATGGAGGAGAATTGTAAGCCAAGTATAGAAGGGCAGAGAAGACTGAATCCAAACATGAAGAAAGTGGTCAGGGCAGAGGTATTGAAATTACTGGATATCAGCATTATATACCCAATTTTAGACAGTGCATGGATCAGCTCAGTTCAAGTTGTGCTGAAGAAAGGGGGAATCACAGTGGTGCAAAAAGAGAAAAGTGCTACTTCCTACCAGAACTGTAACGAGATGGAGGGTTTGCATTAATTATCGCAAACTCAATACAGTTACACGAAAGGACCATTTTCCACTCTCGTTTATTGATAAGACGCTAGAAAGGTTGGCAGTGCATTCACACTATTGTTTTCTTGATGGATACTCGGGCTTCAACCAGATACCAGTTGTGCCAGAAGATCAGGAGAAGACCACGTTCATTTGCCCCTACGGTACTTTTGTCTACCATAGGATGCCATTTGGTTTGTGCAACGCTTTGGCTACATTTCAAAGATGCATAATGGCAATATTCTCTGATATGATTGAAAGATTCATAAAGGTGTTCATGGACAATTTCTCAGTTTTTGGATCGTCATTTGATGAATGCTTGAAGCATTTAAATCTGGTCTGACAGAGATGCAGGGAGACTAACTTAGTTCTGAATTGGAAAAAATGCCACTTTATGGTACAGAAAGGAATTGTACTTGGACATCAGGTCTCAGCAAAAGGAATTGAGGTGGACAAAGTGAAAATTTAGGTTATTGAGAAGCTACCGCCACCAACATTAGTTAAAGGGGTCCGCAGTTTCTTAGGACATTTGGGATTTTATAGGAGATTCGTAAAGGATTTTTTGAAAATCACTAAGCCGCTGTACAATCTACGAATGAAAGACGTACCTTTTCAATTTAATAAGGAATGCCTAACAGCTTTCAACACTTTGAAGGAAAAACTCACGTTAACACCAGTAATTGTAACACCAGATTGGGAATTACCCTTTGAACTAATGTGTGACGCCAGTGATCACACCATGGGTGCAGTATTGGGATGGCAAAGAAATGAGGTTTTTCACATGATCTACTATGCAGTTGTAATAAATAATGTGTACTCTCAAGCACAGGCAAGGATATTTTATTTTAGCTGAATTTTCAACTTCTTTCTCTGAAAACTTTTTATGATTGACAATAATTTGATAATTAAATCATCAAGTGTTGATTTGATCCAACAAGACTTGGCTCGTTGACTGCTAGATGTAATTTCATAATTATATTTTCAGAAAAAATGCAGGGGACAATTAATTTTGAGATTGGGGGAGGAGCAAATATCATTCAATGTCTTTAAAGCCAGGAAACTCTCTTTAGAATCAGATAGATGTTTCCAAGTCAATGTCATTGATAAGGTAGTCGAGGAGACATTCTTACTTGATAGCACATTCGATGCTTATGAGGCGTGTATTGCACATTCTCAGTCAGCCCAGTTAGACTTTCTTGAGATTGAGACATGTGCAAGGTTTTTGGAGACCAACCCACCATACACATGAAAGAGACACTTCGAGGAGCCAGGAACAGGGACAACAAAACCATTACCTTCCATTTAGTAGCCACCAGTAGTGGAACTTAAGCAACTGCTGCCACATCTCAGATATGTTATACGTACTCTCAAGCACAGGCAAGGATATTTTATTTTAGCTGAATTTTCAACTTCTTTCTCTGAAAACTTTTTATGATTGACAATAATTTGATAATTAAATCATCAAGTGTTGATTTGATCCAACAAGACTTGGCTCGTTGACTGCTAGATGTAATTTCATAATTATATTTTCAGAAAAAATGCAGGGGACAATTAATTTTGAGATTGGGGGAGGAGCAAATATCATTCAATGTCTTTAAAGCCATGAAACTCTCTTTAGAATCAGATAGATGTTTCCAAGTCAATGTCATTGATAAGGTAGTCCAGGAGACATTCTTACTTGATAGCACATTCGATGCTTATGAGGCGTGTATTGCACATTCTCAGTCAGCCCAGTTAGACTTTCTTGAGATTGAGACATGTGCAAGGTTTTTGGAGACCAACCCACCATACACATGAAAGAGACACTTCGAGGAGCCAGGAACAGGGACAACAAAACCATTACCTTCCATTCAGTAGCCACCAGTAGTGGAACTTAAGCAACTGCTGCCACATCTCAGATATGTTTATTTGGGAGAGTCATGTCAACTCCTAGTGATTATTTCAAACATAGCTAGTGAGGTGGAGGAAGAAAACTGCTTAGGGTACTCACAGAAAATAAGACAGTGATTGGGTGGATGATAGCTGACATTAAAGGGATCAGTCCTTCACTATGTATGCACAAAATTCTCATGGAGGAGAATTGTAAGCCAAGTATAGAAGGGCAGAGAAGACTGAATCCAAACATGAAGAAAGTGGTCAGGGCAGAGGTATTGAAATTACTGGATATCAGCATTATATACCCAATTTTAGACAGTGCATGGATCAGCTCAGTTCAAGTTGTGCTGAAGAAAGGGGGAATCACAGTGGTGCAAAAAGAGAAAAGTGCTACTTCCTACCAGAACTGTAACGAGATGGAGGGTTTGCATTAATTATCGCAAACTCAATACAGTTACACGAAAGGACCATTTTCCACTCTCGTTTATTGATAAGACGCTAGAAAGGTTGGCAGTGCATTCACACTATTGTTTTCTTGATGGATACTCGGGCTTCAACCAGATACCAGTTGTGCCAGAAGATCAGGAGAAGACCACGTTCATTTGCCCCTACGGTACTTTTGTCTACCATAGGATGCCATTTGGTTTGTGCAACGCTTTGGCTACATTTCAAAGATGCATAATGGCAATATTCTCTGATATGATTGAAAGATTCATAAAGGTGTTCATGGACAATTTCTCAGTTTTTGGATCGTCATTTGATGAATGCTTGAAGCATTTAAATCTGGTCTGACAGAGATGCAGGGAGACTAACTTAGTTCTGAATTGGAAAAAATGCCACTTTATGGTACAGAAAGGAATTGTACTTGGACATCAGGTCTCAGCAAAAGGAATTGAGGTGGACAAAGTGAAAATTTAGGTTATTGAGAAGCTACCGCCACCAACATTAGTTAAAGGGGTCCGCAGTTTCTTAGGACATTTGGGATTTTATAGGAGATTCGTAAAGGATTTTTTGAAAATCACTAAGCCGCTGTACAATCTACGGATGAAAGACGTACCTTTTCAATTTAATGAGGAATGCCTAACAGCTTTCACCACTTTGAAGGAAAAACTCACGTCAATACCAGTAATTGTAACACCAGATTGGGAATTACCCTTTGAACTAATGTGTGACGCCAGTGATCACACCATGGGTGCAGTATTGGGATGGCAAAGAAATGAGGTTTTTCACATGATCTACTATGCAAGCAGAACCCTAAATGATGCCCAGATCAATTACGCTACCACTGAAAAGGAGCTTTTGGTCGTTGTATATGCATTCGACAAGTTTAGATCATATCATGTGGGATCTAAGGTCATCGTTTTCATAGATCATGTTGTAGTGAAGTATCTGCTAACAAAGAAAGATACGAAGACGAGATTGATCTGATGGATATTGTTGCTACAAGAATTTGCCATTGAAATCAGAGACAAAAAGGGCAGTGAAAATATGGTAGCAGATCACCTGCCTCGATAGGAGTCTGGGGAAACAGAAGAATTAGTGGATATCAATGAAAATTTCCCAGATGAGCAGATGTTGAGCATAGAATAAGCACCTTGGTATGCGGACATTGTTAATTACTTGGCCAAGTCCATTGCACCACCAAATTACTCAAGCCACCAGAGGAAAAAGTTCTTTACTGAACTAAATTACTACTTTTGGGAAGATCCGATTCTCTACAGGGGAGGGGCTGATCAGATAGTAAGGAGGTGTATACCTGAAGAAGAAGTACCTGAGATCCTTGAGCATTGCCATTCATCTGCATATGCGGGGCACTTGAGAGCTTCAAAGAGTGCCGCTACGATTTTACAGTCAGGTTTCTATTGGCCTACATTGTTTAGAAATGCTTTTAAATTTGTGAAGAGGTGCGATAGGTGTCAGCGTACTGGAAATACCTCGATAAGGAATGAAATGCCATTGAACAACATTTTGGAAATGGAGATATGTGACGTCTGGGGGATTGATTTCATGGGACCTTTTTCCCTGTCCTTCTCAAATCAATATATCTTGGTAGCAGTAGACTATGTATCCAAATGGGTAGAAGCAGTTGCATTGCCAACAAATGGCGTGAAGGCCGTAGTTGGGTTCATGAAGAAGTACATTTTCACCTGATATGGCACACCACGGGCTATAATCAGCGACGAGGGAAAGCACTTTTGCAATCGCCAGTTTGAGCAGTTGTTGAATAAATATGGCGTTAAACATCGTGTAGCTACTCCATATCATCCACAGACTAGTGGCCAAGTTAAAGTTTCTAATCGACAATTGAAAAGAATACTTGAGGTTACAATGAATTCATCTCGAAAGGACTGGTCTAAAAAGTTGGATGACGCTTTGTGGGCTTATAGGACAGCACTCAAGGTACCGATAGGGATATCTCCATACCGCCTAATTTTTGGGAAAGCATCCCACCTGCTACTAAAGATAGAACACTAGGCATATTGGGCTATGAAACAGTTAAACATGGATTTGAAAGCCATCGGTGAAAAGAGATCGTTGCAACTGAATGAGTTAGATGAATTTCGGATAGACGCATATGAAAACGCAAGGCTCTACAAAGAGCGAACCAAGAAGTGGCATGACATGCATATTCAGAGGCGAGAGTTTGAAGTGGGGCAGAAAGTGCTATCGTACAACTCTAGACTCAAGCTCTTCCCGAGAAAATTAAGGACAGGGTGGTCGGGTCCCTATACAGTCACTAAGGTGTTACCATACGGGGCTATAGAAGTCAGCCATGAAACTAAGGGTACTTTCACAGTTAACGGGGAAAGGCTGAGACACTACTGGAGTGGTGATTTCTGTAAGCAAAAGTCCACCGTTCAACTCGGGACACCAGAATGAAGCAGCTACGGGAAAATCAAGCTAACGACTATAAACTAGCACTGTGTGGGAGGCAACCCACTGTATCCTTTTCATTAATTTTAATTTTGGCATTAGCTTAGGAAATTTTGATTTTCACGTTTGATATTTTTTAGGTTTAGGTCATCGATCATCCATGCATGTCGATCGAGTCTAAGCACTACCCACACGGGTCCCTATTCATCGAGCACAAGTTAGGAATGATTGATTTAGTGTTTAGGTGATTGGATGTGAGCATCACGCATTTCAAGGTAGAAAGTGTGTTTTTTTTAAGTACTTCGAGGATCAAAGGGTGACTTCAATTTTAAAAAGTAATTTTGGAACTAAGTCAATGACCTACACGTGCCCCATATGGTCTAATGTGTTTTGATAAATGTTGGGGGACGATGAAATGCCATTTCGAAGCCACAAGTTGAAACCCAAGAATTTGGGGGGAATTTTGGTCAAGGTCGAATATAGGGAATCAATTGCGCTCTTAAAAATTTTCCACGTGCATTTAGTCTTTAAAAAAAAAAATAATGGGTCTGATTATGTCTATGATGTCGCATAGGCATATAGTGTTTGCTGTCGCATAGACTCATCATAGAAAATAAGGGGCCAGATTATTTGTTCTATCCGACCGTATAGAAATATTCTATGCAGCCGCATAGAAGAGGCCAGTTACGAGTTTTAACCAGTAACTTGGTCTCTCAACTCTCATTCTTCCCCAAATTATACACGAACCCTAGACCCAAAATTCCTCCAATTTCACATCCAAATTCAAGCCAAGTCACATTAGATTATCCTAATTTCACACAACAACAATCAAGCACTTGGGAACAACCACAAAAACACAACACTAACAATATTCAAAGGTATGACTCTCGTCCCCTTTCACGTCTTTATGCTCGGTGTGAGGTTATTTTCAATTTGTTTTTGTAAATTGAGGAGAATGAGCTTAGGTAGATGTTGGTTTACGAATTTGATTGTGTTTTGTGCTCTATGGATTAATTCCATTCACCAGTTTCTTCAATTCCTATAACTTTCAGATTGTGCACACCATGTGTTCGATAAAAGCCTAAGTTAAAATTTTATTGCATTCTTGTGAATCTAGCATGACATGTGATTGAAGATTGAATTGGATTACCTATTTGTGAGGAATTACCATAGAATTTGAATTGGAAAACACCAACACCCCACATCAACACGCAATGCACATCATGGCTAGGTCACAGCACCCTACGTCACACACTTTGCACCTTAAATTACCTCACCAAATGACCTCCGATTGCCCTGAAATTTGAACACATGATGGAACAATATGAAAGCTTTCATATGCCTAGAGGTTGCTCGGGAAAATTTTGAATTTTCTCGATGATGCCTATACTTGAAAGTCCTTACATAGTCATAGGTTATATTATTCAATTTGCTTGTTTTTGGGCTAAGTCTTGTTGGTACATTCTTATCTTGACACGATATCCCTATATTGGGACATATTTCATGCATTTTCCATACCAATTTCATACACATGTATTTTGAAGCAAGTTTGGGGGATTTGGACAATATATGCCTTGTTTTCCTTATTCCATGCCTTGGATGTCAACATGAAACCTAATGAATATTATTTTACAACTTTGCAGGATGCCTCCAAAATGAACCTCAAAAGGGAAAGAAAAAGTTGGCTCATCTTTCGCAACAGCCTGTACTCGAATTCTTGAAGGAGAGATACAAAGATTTTTGAATTCCAGGACAGCAGCCCACTATGAAAGCATTATGAGTCGGTGGATAGTAATACCAGAGCGGGGAGTAAAATTAGAGGATTTTCCAGGTTTTGAGTTGATCACTTTGGTGGATCACTATGGGTGGGCAAAAGTAGTAGAGCAGCCACATCGGATCTATGAATCATTGGTGGAAGTATTCTACACAAATTTCAATGTAAAGATTGACACACCAGGGTCCGACCACTTGCATCAGACATGGGTCAGGGGACAGTGGATTATGTTCTCACCAGAGATTATTTAGGACTACTATCAGCTCACGTGGGACAACATAACCCCGATCCCAAGCGATTTCAATTGGAATGAAGTGGTAGAGATCCTATTAGACAACAAAATACATGGCCACTCCCCACCACTGCATGGCACCAGATTGAGCGACACCTTCTATAGCCATCTTGTGGCTATTTATGTGTCATAACATTGAGCTGACCTCGCATAGGACCACATTCACAGATCCCACAGCTGGGTTCTCTATCACTTGGTGCGAGGAAATAAGATTGATCTCGCCACTCTCTACTATAATCAGATCCATCATGTGGGTACTTTGGGAGATAGGCACAGTTCAATGATTTTTCCCAGCCTCATCTCCGGCATATGCATGGCTGCTGGCATCAATATCACACCAGGAGAGGCACTTGCTAAACCCAGCCCCCTAAAGCACAGTACACTGGAAGCTCAAGACAGAGCAAGGATAAAGCACAAGAAAAAGCAAGAGAATGAGCGCCATATGCAGCAGGAAGAGTAGGGTCAGGTGCATGCAGATCAAGAGATGCCACAATCTCCACCACCACAGAGTGAGGTGGATACATAATTGTGGCGTTAGATATTCGCCACCACCACGGGAACGAGCCACGACATACAGGGTCTCCAACAAGCTATGGGGGCTTTGACGACTGACATACAGATAGCCCGATGTGACATCCGCATCGCCACTAATATGGCACGAGCAGCTCACCTGGATTCCCAGGCAGCCAGAAGGGAGATGGAAACTATGAACGGTCAACTGAGTATATATGTGGACTGAGTGGATGGCATCCAGATACGAGTGAATGAGACTTGGGAAGATCTGGGCTGTATGGAGACACGTGTTGGCAGAATCCAAGATGAGATGGCGTAGCAGTCAGCAATGATGAGAGAGATTTTAGCGGGCCTATCTCCACCTCTAGACGATGGTACATCAGGAAACATCTTCCCACCACCACCTCCATAAAGATCATGGGAGTATTGTCTACTACTTTTGATTTTTGTGAAACTGTCCTTCAATTATGTCTTTTAACCTTTGTTAATTATTCATTGAGGACAATGTATTAACTACGTTTGGGGTGACATAATTTTGGACATCTTTACATCACTTTGTATAAATTCATCAATATTTGTATCTCTTCAGCATATATGTTTTATTTTTTACATGTTGTGTGCTTGAGGAGTGTTACAAAAAAAAAAAAATAAATAAATTTAAAATTGTGCATTTTATCCAATTTACTTTATTTCCTTTCGTGAGTGCTTGTGTGGGCTTGATAGTCTTGCCGTCTATGATGTAAATATTGGACTGGTGTAACTTACAAAACTGTGGATATGGTGCTGAATAGATTAACCAATACTTGTGATGCAATACTTGACATTCTCTATGAATGACACTCATGCTTGACATGTTAGGTGAGTGACTGAGTTTTGAGTATAAAGTAGGAAGTAAGCGATAACCTTCTATTGAATTACACCATAAATTATTGTGAGGCAATTTGGAAATGGTTGAGCAAGCATAAGGGAGCATTGAGATAAGAGGAGGGCTCCGATGAATTCTAGTGTGTGGATTACCTAGACCAGTCAGGTGAAGATTAGGTGAAAGTTTTAAATTGGGGGTTGGTTTTGGAGACTAAATGTCTAGAAAAATAATAAAGGGCATAAAAAATTAATTTGTGTGAACATGATACTTCATTCCAAGCCTTTATGACTCGAGCAAGTAAGGCTGTAAGGGTATCTTCAAACCTAGTGCCCTAAGGCCAACTGGTCTGAGATTCACTTGCCAAAAGCTCACTACAGGAGTCATATAGAAAGCAAGAAGGGAAAAAGTTAATAAAAAGTCATCTGATCAAGCCTTTATAACTCGAGTAAATAAGCCCGCAAAGATTTAAAAACTGGTGCCCTAAGACCAACTGGTCTGAGAGTCACCAGCCAAAAGCTCACTACAGGGGTTATATAGAAAGCAAATTAGAAGGTGGCATAAAAAAAAGAAAAGAAAAAAGGCATGAAAAAAGCCTTTGGACATTTGGTTGATAAAACTACACCTTCAATGCGAGGTAAGCAACTTAGTTTAATCTTAAGGATTGAAGCAATTAAATTTGGGAGAGCCCTTACTTGTTGACATGTGAACTTATGATAGCAAAATCAATCCGGACTAAGAGAGGGTAAGGACTATAGTTACCTAACCTCCTAGCTTTAAAACACAACCTCGAGATAATTGAGTGAAAAGAATAAATTTAGGGAGGTTGTGTAGAGAAGCAAGAACATATTTGACCACTCTGGCATGGGACTCACCGCATCATAAATTTGATATGTTCGCATGATTTCAAACATACGTTGGGTATGCATTTAACGAGTAAAGCTTGATTTCATTTTTGCACTGATCAAATTTTATTGAAGCCTAACACTTAGTCTAATACTAAGATACGACAGGTTATTAAGCCATGTTTGTGTAGAGTTAAGTCACTATCTTGTTTGAGGACAAACAATAGTTCAAGTTTGGGGAGTTTGATAAGTGTATTTTTACACAATTATTTAATTCACAAACATGACGTAATTAAGAGCAAAACATTGAAATTGTGATTTAATTTCTGTTAATTTGCGTATCGTAGGACATACTAATGAACATGGTGAAATTCACAAGAAAAGAGGCGAAAAAGGACTAAATTGGAACAAAGTAAAAGTTCATGGATCAAAGTGAAATTATTTGAAAGTTGATCCGATGGACACATCAAGCAATTGATCGAGCTAAGTACCAATTGGAGATTATAATGGAACATTGGAACAACTAGAAACATGAAAGGAGGTCAAGAAGTGGAGAAATAAAGTTTGAGGACCAACATAACATAATTTGAAAGTTTGTTTTACTATGCGGTCGCATAATAGAAACCCCTATGTCGTCGCTAACACCAAGGCAGGGAATTAATATGCCAAATTTTATAAACCTATGCGGTCGCATAGGTTATGCCTATGTGGTCTATTTTG